TTTTAGCGCGGACCCGACGTCCATATAATTGTAAGTCAATGCAAATTTTACAAAAATTTAATACTTAATGTACTACTACGACTGATACGAAGTCCATAGCTATCAAGGGCGTCTGTTCGATCTTTGTATGAACAATAAGCATGTCCGTAGGGGGTCTCCCGTTCGACACTCACGGTCGGCGTGGTGCCGGTCGGCGCTGTGGCTGCGCGCCGCGATGTTCTTGCGCAGCGCCAGCGGGCTGAGCGCGTCGTGTCGCGCCAGCGACATGTTGTTGAAACCCGCGATTATCTGCGATGGCTGCGCGTAAATAGTGTTGCTTTGCCCGTATTTCTTCTCTTGTTGCAGCTTGAAGCCTGAAAACGAAAACAACGCACGGTAGAGAACACTGATTGATGAAAATTATTTTTCACCTCACTAGCTCGGAAAGACTTTCTTTCTCATTACAAACCTGCGCAGAAAAGCGTTTTTTCCACACTGGCGTGGAAAAGGTTTTTGCAATTCAAACTTGACGATACCGCACCTAACTTTTTCTTTCGATGTTAAAAATAACATGACACGTTCAACTATGCGATTTGTCGTACATTATACATACAATTGACAACGATCACTAATTTTGTTTATCAAAACTGATTTCTTTCATCTACCATTTTCCTCGCTATAGTGAGGTGAAAAGTTATGTGTTGTAGCAAAGATATTTTGAGCTTCGTGGCTTAAAACCTTCGCTACGCTCACGATTCTATTTTTGATCTTTCTAATCTTAGAATCTTTCGCTTGCTCAGGTTTCAGTACTTAGGGTCGTATTCCAGAACTCTACTCAATGTTCAAGTCAGGTTTTGAGTATGATTTAAAGCACTAGAAATCATACTCAAGTCCTTGCCATTAGAGTCGTATTTCCAGTGCTTGAAATCATACTCAAGTCCTGACTTGAGCATTGAGTAGAGTTTGGGAATACGACCCTTATACTTATTATATCTTATTACTACTAATTTGTCAGACCATCGCACCACTTACCTGATATCAAACTAAAGAATTCCCTATACTATGAGTACTAGAGTAACGAAATCCAATTTAGAAAACTTTTTCCTAAATAAGTCCTTCTGAGAGTGGAACTCGGAACCACCTTATCAAGCTAACTGTTGAACCACCGAAGTCGCAAAAATTGCTTTATTTAAAGTTTGACGTTGTTTCCTGTGTTGAGAAAAATAAATATTAACAGGAAAATGCCATTGCTCACCTACAAAGGTTGTCGAAAGAATTTATTTACGTAAACTTGGGAAATATAAAGACTATGTGGGAAAAATGCGGTTGCTTTACATAGCACAGACGTCCTTATTTACAACTCCAGTGACGTACTTATTCTTAGAAATGAAAAATAAACAATAATTTAGCCTATAAAGAAAATTTTCAGAAAACAACGATGAATCAGTAATTATTCATTCTTGACACTATATAAATATCCAGGGTTCGATGATCAGCTGCCCCAATTTGTGTACCAGACTTTCAACAAATCTAATGAAATTAAAAATAGGTTTTCTTATAAGACCAAAGAAAAAATTAACACAACTTAAATCAACGCCATCTAGTGATATATCCCAGGTAATTCTTAAGGACATTCCAAATTCAAATAATAACGTTTGAACTTCTTTCTTCTTCACTCAAATACGCAGGCAACACTCAGGCAGCCGGTGTAGAAATTTAAAAATCGCGTTATCCATATTATGATATCATGACTTTCTTATAAAAGTAAAATTGTTAATAAAATGGCTGGATAGACTAAAAAAACTAAAAATATGTTTGTATATGATTTTTATATCGACCTGTGGCCGTAGCACATGTGTGATAAACCTCCCCGTGACAATATTTCATTCAGTTGATAAATCTAAATTTGCTTATTCGGTAATCAACTATTATACATTTTTCAGAACAAGGACAACGATATGAAATTGAATATATACCTATCTTTGTCGTTTAATCATCGCCGCGAAAACCATGAAACAAAAAATGAATTTTCATCTCGTTTGTCGCGCTCAATTTTTACGCTGACAAAATTACTGTGCAAATGTTTTAAAATCAGCTGTGACATTGTAACCATGTTTGGCACTGTGTTAATCTTATGCAGTCAATGGTCGCCGGCGCTCGCGATGACATAAAAATGAGACGTCACAATGCTCGCCATGTTTGCTGTTAAAATTTTAAAATGCCGGTTTATCACTCTAATTTGACAACGCAATGTGAATATAATAGCTTTATCGAGGCGTCATGCTACGGGGGCTGACCTGTTTGTCCGTAGTGAGACTCGCTGGTCCTAGGCCCGAAGCTGGAGAAAGAGTTGTTCTCGCCATAGCTAGGAGTCGAGGGGCTGGACCCGTGGGGGGAGCCTCGACTCTCGTATGTTACTTCTGTAAATTACAATTATTTACACTCAATTCAATTAAAATCACTATTCTTAATATCTTTTTCTTTCTGGGAAGTCTTGCTGGGAAAGAAGCTTGCCTTTTGTCTTGGGCGCTGTCCCGAAACTATTAAATTCTGTTTATTGTCCTTGTTTTATCACCAATTTTTTGTTACCAAGGGACGGGACGATGCGAGTCGTACGCCTGGTGGTAAGCGACTTCACAATCTATCGATATCAATCTGCCGACAACAACTACATGACTATTTCGATTATGACTAAATTTTACGAAAACTGGCGACCCAGCAAATGACATTTTTCAGTCTTCAAAAAAGACGGACTATACAGTGTTTATTTCAATAGAGAAAACCTGTCAAAGCTGAATGGGTCACTTGTCGACCTTGATAGCCTATGGGTTTACACTGTTGGCTGGGTGCAGAGGTCCAGGGTTCGCTTCCCGGTAGGAACAATTTGGGAAATGAACTTTTCTGAATTGGTTCTGGTGTACCATCGCCTTCTGGGAAGTGCCCCAGAGTGAATGCCTTTGTTCTGGTACTCATACTACAAGGAATTTCTTAGTTTGAGTTTTGGGGTGTTGTCTAGCACATTACATTATACTCTATGGATATTTGTCACCGAAGTACGCAAAAGACGCGTGTGTAATATACGTATGCAATTGCGTAGCTGTATTGTTAACTTTCTTATTTAAATAAAAATTTTCTTACCCCCAGCATCCCTAAACAAATCAGAATTGGAGCTATTCAAGCTATTCTTTCTGACGTAAACATTGTTTTCCACATAAGCCATAATCCTGTGCCCTGTCTGCCCGTAAATAGGGTTGAGATTCCCAGTACTGTTGAGGCTTGTGCTGGACGAGAAATTGCTCTTGGCCTGTAGGAAGGTGGACATAGTCGTCTGGGTGGGGCTGGCCTGGTGGGCGGTGCTGGAGTTCTGCAGCTGGTGCAGGCTGCGGCGGACGAGGCCCGGCGAGGCGGGCATGTGTTTCAGCTCGGTTAGCTGTTTAACCGTTTCTGCGACTATATTCTGGTGGCCTGAAATGAGTTATATTAATGTGTTTATTTCAACGCTTGATCTCGGTACAGATATAAGCCATGTTAGAACATTGGTCTAATATAATAAGACAAGTAATGTAGCTCGATATAAACGTAGCAGCGTGGTTCGTATGTGTGCATGCCCGCCGCGCCGTGTAAGGACGCACACATTCGCATAATCTCGCGGTGAACTTGCGTTGCAAAGCGCGGATCAAACCACGCGCCTTTCTTTATGGAATTGAGGCGTTCGTTCGGTGTTTAAAAAACAACACCAAATTTTTTTTAATAACGCACACACTCAACATTTTGAATCGAACCTGGGACCTATGCGTGGCAGTCGTTCGGCCACGGAGACAGTTAAATATACAAATATTATACATACTGTTATTAGATTCGTGGTCAGGTTGCAAGAGAAAAGCTGGTGGCGGCGGGAGATTGTCGGCGTCTGTCGTTGGCACTTGCGGACTCATTGCGTTGCCCTGTCAAAGTAAATTAAAAAATAATGTTGTTGTTATGCGTAATCGTTAACGTACCTTTAGGACATGGAAACATCATTAATATCTTCAACTCCTTACACATGGTAATTTGTAACTATAATAATAAAACATCGTAGGAATATATACTCGTAGTAACAAAAATATGGAACAGAAAATTTAGTGGCACCGCCCCGACAGGTCCTAATCATTTACTGCGTCCAGCAATACCGACAACGTTATTATTCGTGTCACGGCTTCATTACTCCACAAAGTCTGCAAATGTTGTGGAGCATACACGAGTGAAAGCCAATGCTACCCTGAGTGTCGAGCAGTTGGGGTTCCGCCACAATGTGAATTTTAATTCATTTGTGGTGAGAGTACCAACTCAACATCTATCGACCTTCATGAAGGGGGAGTTCTGGCCAAAGGGGTGATGTACCGACATCGAAAAACGGCGGAAACAAAATTTTTACCCCAAATTATGATTGAAGCCACTGACTCGACTCGTCAGTCGAATTAGAAGAAATTTTTATCCATCGCCAAAAAAGTTTGTATGGCTGCCATATTGAAACATTGCGAAAAAGAAATTTTGACTACTAATTATATTGACTTACAAATATATGGACGACGGGTCTAATACAAAAACCTCGAAAAAAATGTCCCAAGTCAACCTATTTAAACGTAGTGACATGTAAAGGAACATGAAAAAGCTAAAACGTTGAATTTAAATTGTAATGTCATCGCAGTACTGTCTAATTTTGCTTGCTTCGCTGTCAGTCGAACAAATGAAGACTAAAGCGTGAATGACGCTCTGTATACGATTTTAACGCCCTATAAGTTCGGATACTTTTTAGCGCGGACCCGACGTCCATATAATTGTAAGTCAATGACTAATTATTATTAAACAATCATAGAGACCCCGACATATCCGTTTTTAATCAAATTAGAGCCGATTTTCATCTGCCGCTAAAAAAGTTTGTATGGCAGACATATTGAAAAAAGGCGAAAAATAAATTTTGACTATAAATTATTATCAAACACTTATAGAGGCCCCCACATTACGATTTTAAGTTGAATTAGAGCTAATTTGTATAAACGCTCGTATGGCGGCCATATTCAAAAATGGCGAAAAACCAATTTTGATCACAAATTATTATCAAGCACTCCACATATCCAATTTTCAAAGGGATCAGAGCAATTTTTTTCTGCCGCCAACGAACGCTTCTATGGCGGCCATATTTGAAAATGGCGAAAAACCAATTTTGACCATAAATTATTATCGTACTTATATTATAATCATATATTATATAAGTATAAACTTATATTTACTAATAAATATATACACGTTGCAGACTAGGACCGTGGTAGAAGATATTTATGCAATCCGGTTTTGAAAATAGGTAAAATGTCGGATTTCAAATGGGAGATCGTTTCACAATTTTGCAGCCTTAATCGTAAAGGAATCTTTGTAATACTCAGAGCGAGTGAAAGGAGGCTTCAGTAGGTTATCCACGTTGATAATTTAAAATCTAATGAATTATTAAAAGTTATTGAGCAAAAGTTGTTTATAACATTAGTAACATAGCCTTGCGAGAGAATAACTAATCTAGAAAGAACGTAATGCATACGTTATAAGAGCTTGTTGATTTGGAGTGTGGATGTTTAGGTGGAGAATGCAGGGATTTCTTATTCTTTGTATTGATCCGATTAAATTTGGACTTACCCACGAAAATATGCAAATGGACGTTACATAATACGAGGTGTCCAAATAAGGTTTGTGTTAAAGCAAAATTATTGATCCGTCATTCTCGGAAAGTATTTACTGCCTAATTTCCGTGGTAAGTTTTATTATTCATACACAGTCAATTCTGGCTGTAGCGTAAGCTGAATGAAGTCATTTTGTGTACGCCACAACCGCACAAAAAATAGTACAACATGTAGTCGTCATATTTTTTTTGTATGTTTTATTTTGTTTATTAATTCTTTTTATTTTTGTTTTGCTTGTCTAAGTGTTATCAATATTTATTTTTTGTATCTATTTGTTATGGCATTTGCAATAAGTGTCTATTCTATTTAAGTTAACTTCGAGTATAGTATAGTATATACCGGGTGCCCGTACATCTGGGGCACCTTGGGCAATATTTGCCGATTGCCACACCCTTTCATCACGATGGCAAGCATTATAGTGTATGCGATAAGAAGTATATACTCAAATACTTAAATAATAAAAATTGCTATGGAAATTAGGCAAGCGAACACTGACCAGAGAATGTAGTATTGTAGAAAAGGTAGGAAGGCGTTTGTGTCCCAGTTGTGGTTTGTGTCCCAATTGTGGTTTGCGCCCCAGTTTGAATAAGGAAAACTTAAAAATAATATTACCTGTGGGTAGGCCGGTCGTTGTGGTCGAGATATTGACGAAGACCTGCGAACTGGAGGAGGCGGCTTGCCCAGTGAGCTGGAAGAACCACGTCGGGACCACACGGTTGCTGTAAATTGAACACAAATTTTGTTGAATGGTTGATAATAAAAATTTATTTTCTTCGTCTTTTAATTGGACATGTATTACTTATTTGACAGTAATTCTTTCGGACCGACGTCGGACGAAGAACGAAAGTAGGCCCTCAGAACCGGTTTATCAAGTACATTGGTCGTTTTTCCCATTTTACCTAGCAAATTAAGGTTATTCCCGTTTACACCAAGAAATTTCCCTTATATACATGCATGCTCACATTACTGCTTGGCGGCAGAAATAAGTAAGGTGGCAGTACTTCCCTGGACAAACTCTTTCACAAGGAGCTTAACTGCAGCTATACCTTGACATTGTATTCTAAATTGTAATATTGTAACAATGATAATATGAAGTATATTTTTCATCACACTTGCTCGTAAATGGTATGATTACATGGTGGCTTACTTGACTATAATGCCCCAAATGAAACAAACGGGCCTTTTTTGTCATTACAGCCATGGTCGGTAACGAGCTTTTTTTTTAATTTGCAGCGCAAGGAAGCATTTCTGACATAGGTCAGAGTCAATTTCAAGCAAGGAGGTTAGTTAAGTTCAAAATTTAAACATTCGCTTAAAATGTTATCTAAACAGAAATTTTATTGTAATTCAGTCATATTATGAAGAATTTATTATACTTAATTGGTTTTAATTATTATCTGTATAAAAATTTTGCAATTTTTTTGCAATCCATCATGGCTGTATGCGTGTTTCCTTTTTACAACATTTTAGTTCGAGTTGTATTATCTATGGAAGAATTTAAAAATAAAAACAAAAATCCCGCCATTTGCCAAATTCATAATTATTGTGTTGTCAACCATATTTATATTGCACTTATTTCCTTGCGAATGTAATAAAAAACATTGTATGCATACATCACGGACGGTTAAAAAACACAAAACTCGAGTTATTACAGCCCCCAAGCCTTTGGCTTCGGGCTTCTAATAGATCCTCGTTAGTAATTTCTTACTTGTCGTCCTTAATACACAATGTACTAATTCTATTCTGTAGTTTTCAATTACGACTGTGAGCCGGTTTTGCAGATAAAAACACAAAAGTACTCTTCATATCAGTACACCATTTACTTTTTGAAGGAATTATTACAAACCTGTCATGGAAACGGGCCGCCGTTTAGGCACAGCGGGTTTCTTGCCTATAGTAGCAAAGGGCGGGGTCTCACACGCCTCGTCCAATGACCGAACGGCCTCTTCCAGACTGCCCAGCGACACTGAGAAGCTCTCGCGAGCGGCCGTGATTGGATCGCAGTCGCGTCGTAGGGTCACGATTTCCGATTCGACTGTTTGCAAATTAAGGAGGCATGCAAAGCGTAAATTAAATGAAAAGAAAACCGACTTCAAAAAACGTGTGCTTTGTAGTGTATCTTATGTGTTTAGTCAATGGTCGGAATCGGGTTTTCCAAATGATTAGATAAATGTCTACAAGGAGTGACATACAGTGGTTAAAAACACCAAATCGATACTTCCTATGAACATTGCCAACTTCGGTTCGGTCGGAACAACACAAAATTCGGTTTTCTGTTTTTTTTTTCGAATTTTGTTTTATGTTTCTTTATTTGTTTTTTAACACAATATTCGAACAGCAAAATATTTGTAAATAAATATAGCTGTTTACAAAAATCGTTATTTTTGATAATGACCAAAAAATAAAGTTGGTTGTAGTGACTGTGTTTTCGAATTCCTCGTTTACGGAAATAGCCTTTCAACTACTACAGTTTTTTACTGGCACCATGTAGTAAGTGAAACTAGATTTACTTTGAACTCCAACTTGAACTTCCGACGTGAGTTGTTTTCTCCCACGATGTGGTAAAAATATTTCCGGAAATCCGGAATTCGAAAAAGCAATTACTTAATATTAGGTGGTTTAACCACAGCTTGTATCTACATGTAGATATTTGTCTATTCATTTGGAACGCCGTATTCCGACCATTGATTTACAAACGAATAATTTTTCAGGATCAATTTTCTTTGAAGTCAGTTAAAACACAAAACACACACTCAAAAAAAAACAAAATGTATTATGACTTGCGATTGAAGTTTTAATAATACGATGAACCCCTCTTCCTTAATAATACTTAAAAATAGATTCAATAATAAAAATAACTCGGTGAACATTAAAACTTCAGTTAAAACTTCAAAGTCAAGTCAAGAAAGTCAAGAAACGGAGGCTAAAAAAGAAATTCATCGAACATATCGCACACTGGTTTTAACACTGACACAGCTCAAATATAGCAGTCGTGGCAAGTAAAAAAAGAAAATGTTGGGCAAAAGTGACATTTGTAATTACAGACAAAACTATGGCAACACAGTCATATGTACATATTTATATACACACACATAAACAACCACAAATTACATCTAAACTCACAAGAATAATAAATGAAGGCCATATAAATATTTTTCCCGGCACAGGAATCCATCCCGGACTTCTGTGTAACCGTTCAGCCACTGAAGCAGTTTAGTAAGGAAAATAAAGGAAAAGTGGGGAAAATTCTGCACACGCCTACAGCAAAACCTATAAAATTACGATTTTTGACTTGTGACGCTGTTGAAACCGGTGTGCGATGCCATTAGCACTACAATTCCAAAGTACACAAAAAAATTGTAATACGTGCTTCCACAAATAACGACTTTAGAACCTATGGATATAGGCATTTCTAACATTCCCGTGTACCCTCGGGATTTACTTATTAACTTTCGAAATTTTTACTTTTCTCGATAACATACTCCTAAAGGTATAAAAGTGTTCTAATGTTAAATTGAACAAAACTAGTAAGGTAAAAAAACAATTGTTTTTGTTCGTAATGCAAAAACTACCACAATTTACGTACAGATATGAACAAACATCAAAAGATCATCAAGCATCAAGAAAAACAACAACTGACCATCAGGATGCTGCAACTGTTGATGATGAGCATGGTCTTCAGCCGCGAAAGCGCCCTGGCTGCCGTACCCGCTCGATGATTCCAGCGAAGATTCACTTGCACTGCTCTCCGAACATACCTGAAATGGAAACAGATAGATTTGTGAGCAAGTCGTGTAACTCTGTTTGACTGTAGAGATCTAACAAATAAGTTGTGCTGTTCCGTGCCGAGAAATCTCGTTTTGGTAATGGACATTTTGCTCTTAGGTCATATAGGACAAATTCTGGTATGCGCGCTCCTCTAAGGTGATTATTTCATAATTATAACGAGCTATTGTCGGAAGGAGATATTTTTGATCTATCTAAATACAAATTTAAGGCGGTTACTAATCAGGTATGGCGCTGTAGTAGATTGTGAAACTGTTTTTAAAGTGTACTTAGTAATGTAGTTAAGTTTGTTTGTTTATAAAACTATTATTCACATTGATGAATTAATTTGCTTAGGAAACATAGATGGTGGAACTTGAAATATAAGCACGTTGTTAATGCTTACGCTTAAATTGAAAAGCGTGCTTGCTTATTTTAAAAAGCAACTTTTTAAGTGCTTTTCGTTTAAACGCCCACCTCCAATTGCTATAGACAGGCATGAGACGCTCTACATCAGGCGCACGACTTGTTCGTCCCGTCAATTGGTATGATCTCCCTCCATTCCTCCTTCGATTGACTAATTTTTCAACCTGTACACTCGATGCGGAGTGTCAGGTTCAATAAACTCCATCTTATATCCAATAAACTACTTCCGTTTCCGTTGAGACTCTTCGCCGCATAAATTGTTATCAGTTAGTTAATAGATCTTAAAATTCTTTCTGCTCGTTCTCTTTTCCATCCCGTACAATTCAGCGCTACTTTCCTGATGGAACAGATAGAGCGGCAGTTATCATCAACCGATTTAACTGCCTCTCTGGTCGTACGATTACAATGCTAAACGGGAGAAATATTTGTGTGGTCTACATTTATTTCCCTCGTGAGTTCGAGGGTAATTTGTGTATCTACCTATGTGTATGTCCGTGGCGGCACTCGCGATACAGGGTTTCACTAGTGCGGGACTACGAGTGTGTGCGTTATTTATACGTCCCACTGCTGGGCACGGGTCTCTTCTCAGGCGAGATTTTAGACCATAGTCCGTCACGTTCTGACCCAATTCGGATTGGGGACCTTCTTCGAAGTGCAGATTTCATCATTATGTTTTTCTTCATTGTCAGTGAGCAGTAGAGCACCTAGTGAAAGAGTTCGTCCAGAGAAGTACTGCCACCTTATCTATTTCTACCGCTAAACAGTAATGTCAGCATGGCAGCGTTTCTGTTTCGATGGGTGCTGGTAAAATTACAGGCACATGAGACTTGTCAATTTATGTCTCAGGGTGACAAGCACAGAGGCAGTGCCCCTCACATCTTTGCGATTTATGAGCGGCACAGGCGTGTTGCTTTACACCAGGTGCACGGCTTGTTCGTCCTGTCCCTTGGTATCATAAAAAAATGTGCGTAACTTAGAAATTAAAGGCATACGCCACAGGACTACGAATGTCTCTGGTATGGAAGACGTTTCTGCTAACCAAGCTATGAATATATAGCCTGGAAATAACTCCCCTAACATTCATATCAAAATAGTGTGAATTATTTCAATATCTCACGGATACAATGACAGGATATTTACATGAATACTTAATTGGTATTTTTTGATGGCGCATATTCCGTGTCGCACGTGGGATATTATCCCACACGGCTTAACATAATCGAACAATGGTGAACATTGGTAGCACAGTACCTATATATATACATATATGTATGTATATATGTTAATACTTCTGGTTGAGAGGTTTTGATACTTGATGTTACGCAATAACTCACGTGATAACTAAGCATTTGTAAACCGATTTTGATGATTCTTTTGTTGGAAAGACGGTACCTCAGCAGTGGTCCCATTTAAATTTGAAGAAAATATTCCACCTCTAAGGGTGGTAAACAAGGGGTAAATTCAGTTTCGCGCAGTTTCTGCTATGAGCATGGCTTGTTCGTTCCGTCACTTGATATTATAACCTATGTATATACAGTGTGTTGATTTTGCATTTGCATATTTACATAGGTCATTCTATATCCGAAACTGAGCCCCACTAAAAAAAATAAATCGAAAAAAAAAACTATTTCGTAAATTCCTTTTTTATTTAATTGCGGTAAACATTTTAAACAATGACCTTAAATGCGCAGAAACAAACGCATTTTAGATTTATTTGGTGGTGGGGCGCGAGTAGCTACGGCGGGGAAGTGTCGTATCGAGCGCGTGATTGGTAGATCAGTCGACGTTGCTTCCCGTACTGCGTCTACATCACGCTGACATCCCACATAGCAGTCAGTCGTATGCTGGCTACACTGTCCAGTTACCGACACGTTTAATCTGAGCTGCGGTGAGGTTATTAAAACAAATCTCTCACTGGATGTCACTAGCGGCGATGAATGCCGAATGGTCATTATAAAAATCTATAACAAAAACACATACGAATTTAGATGACTCGGTAACTGGACCCGTGTATGAGATGGTTAGAGCAATGCAGCATGAACGTGGGTTCAAGTCCTATTGGGTCGACGAAAAGAAAAAAATTCTGTGTGTTCGATATTTGCTTTCATAATCAAAATAATTGGTGGTATTAACATGGTGGTAAAAAGCAACAAAACATTATAATATTCCATAAAAATCCCAGTTGGTGCAGGAATCTGTCATAAAATTAATGTTTAATTTATTCCGATCGATCAAAAACGACCAAAGGAAGGGGTCTGGATAATTTGAGTAGTAATTTGAAAAGTCTGCTTCTTATGGTACAGGAAGTTTGCCTAATGTGTGATCAATGAAGGAGTATGTGAAATAAAGGAGTGATTGGCTGACACACTATTATCCTATGTTATAAATTTTTTTTTTTTTTGCAACAGCAAGAAAACAAAACAGCAATGTTTTATTTATTTAAAAAAACTGGTGCCCGCGAATTTGTCTGCGTAGGGTAGGTAAGTACTTTGAGTTGCTTACTGTACCATACCAATTTTCATAATTTTATTGGTTCTCCATACAAACTTTCATCACATATTTCACTCCCTTTAGGAATTACTTTTGTGACAAAAAGTATCCGTCTATCTCTATACCAAAACTCATCAATATTGGTTCAGAGGTTTAGGCGTGAAAATGTAATAGAGAAAGTTAGTTTCGCATTTAAATAATATTAGTATAGTAAGCATAGGAGTCGTTAAATGAGAAAACAAACAACAAATTTTTCAACACAAAAAATTAAAGTATCAATTACATTAGCACAAACAATGTAAATGAATGAAACCGATATAAAATGCACTCGATTGCAGAGTCGTGGTTTAATCGCGAGCCGAACATTGTGTGGCGCACGCGCACACTTCCGAGATATCAGTGATAACAGAAATATGACTAGTGTTTACTTGATATTGTTTCTGTAAGTATCAAATTTTCTTGCAACTATGCAAACGAAAAATGTTGTCTTCGGGGTTTACGAGCTTTTACTAACCTTCAAAGAGTGACTTAAGTGTTTTGATATGATATGATTTGATATTTAGTAGCAATAGAGTTCCTGGTGAAAGTTCGTCCAGGAACGTACTGCCACCTTAACTATCTCTGCCGCCAAGCAATAATGTGAGCATTACTGAGTTCCGGTTTTGAAGGGTAAGGGTGCTGGTGAAATTACAGGCACATAGGACTTGTCAACTTATGTCTCAGGGTGATGGGCGCAGTGTCAGTACCTCTGAAATCTTTGCGATGTAAAGCTCAAGAACAAGGTGTGTAGCTTACCACACGACTTGTTCCTTCTATCACATGATATTATATATTTTTTTAAATATTTGTTTCAGTCTTCCTTTTCCTCTTTTATAGTTTCTTACAATAAACCTTGTGGACCGAGTCTTCTGCATTGCCATTTCTCAAAGGCCTAAGCAACACGTTCAATGGAATTTATCTCCTCACGCCAACAGTTTGATCAGAGCTGCCTTCGTCGTTTTTTTTTTTTCTACAAGAAAAATAGATCTAATTTTGAATTTTTGTCAGTCTAATCAGTCTAACTTTGAGGCCAGTCAGTCCACTAATTATCCATAGAGCAGTCACAATGCAGACCGTAATACGGGCCGTAAGTGAGTATATACTGTTCTACATGCAGTGAAACGTTTTTGATTGTATTCTTTATTTAGAGTGCAATTTTATTTTGTAGCCGTGTTGTGTATTTCTGTACACAGTACGTTTCCTATGGATAGATGAGTTAGGGCGCGTTTCCATTACGTCGTGACGACAGATAGTCGTGCAGTTTAAAGTGTCGTGACTTGTATATTTAAATGAAGTTGTTCTTTGACGTTACGATGACAGATTGTCTGTCGTGCAAACGACAAGGCGGCTGCCGTGAACCGACAAATTGTTGTCACGATCTAGTCGGAACAGTTAGATAGTTGGTTAATGATAAAATAAACGTCTACGACAATCTAGTCGTGATATGGGAACAGGCTAGACGAGACAGTCGTCCAACGATAAATAAAACGTTACGACATAATTGGAACACGCCTTTAGGTACGCGCACACTTTTCAAAGGGCCTAAGCAACTGAAATATCGTACGCAGCATGTACACTCGAAGCGACGAATTAGATACGCGTTTTCACCTACCGTACAAATTGAAACCATTGAAGCCATATTTAGCCTACATCCACTAGAAAATTTTGTAATCATATTCATTTTCACTTGAATAAGCACAAAGTTTGTTGAATATCACGATCTTTTATTTCAGTAATGCTTAATTTTTTTTTTTTTTTTTGTGAAATTACTCCTCTAGTCTGTTATAATTATTAATACAAATATAATCCAGCTGATTTGAACCAGAGTCTTGAGCATACAGTGGCTGACGGTCTCGAAACTAAGCTTCGGAACGAACCACACAGCAAATCTTACGAATTTTTCTATGTGCAAATTGCAGATCTTTGTTTCTGGTTTTTAACGACTTTTTTTGCTGTAGCGCCATCCGTGAGAAATCTATAAAAGTTTTACACTGATATAAGTCCACACTCATCTCCCGAAATGAAACGAGTGATCGTT